CTAGGTATTTTACTACAGGTATTTCACCAGATACAGACTAGGTATTTTACTACAGGTATTCCACCGGATACAGACTAGTTTGAATCTATATGACCAATATAATTCTGCCAAATAGTTTCAAGTTATTCTACTACAAGAATCCACTCAACTACAGATTACTCAGAGCTTACTTTTTTCAATTTGTATAGGATGAATTATAGATAGAAATACTACTTGACACCATCAGAGGTAAATGTTTAATTTATTCACCAAGAAAGAAGGAAAAACATAAATGAAAATTCTGTTGGTCAAAGCCACACATAGAAAAGCAATAAAAGTAACACCTAAACTCTAGGGTAGGGACAAGCTTGACTCAATAGTTACTGGTAAGTCCACTGGGCTTAGCTAGTATGGAGAATGATACACAGTTTAACAATACTTACATTAAATCTGAACTTTCTTCATGTATCTTGATAAGATTTTGTACTCACAGAATGAGATTGTTTTAATTAAGTATTGTAATTAAAGATTTGTTAGTTATTTGTACCCAGACTCTGAATATTTTGAGTATTATCATCAACTTTTGAGCAATGAAATGTTTAAAATTAAAAATAGAAAAAAAATGTATGTACCTTGTAATATTTCATCGAATAAACTTGAAAATCTTCATAGTTTATATTCTTAATTGTAAAGTTTTACTTTTTCATAAAAAGTTCAAATTGATTTTTTATTTTCCTTTCTCATCCTTTAGCATTATTACTTTTTGTGACACACATCAACGGGCATTCTTGGGGTCTACTTGGCAGCAATACTTTAGCAGTCGTCAGAATGTTTGAACATTTGCCTATTACACTAAGCCTGATAAACCGAGGTAATCTGGTTTACATTTTTTAAAATTATTAAATCTGTCTAATAATATGCATTTCAAAACATAACTAACACATAATTACCTAAAACATAAAACAAAAACCTAAATAAAATTTAATTGTCTATGACAATTATAGGTGAGAAATAATGCTAAAGTGCTAGTGAAGACACAAGCAGCAACAATGATAAGAGCATTTGACAAGTTCTCAATGGAATTCTTCACACCAATTTTAAAATAACTGTTGAGAAATAGAATTTTGAAATATGGTCTTTCCATTGGGTATAAAGAGAGCATGGCATTGGTCAAGAGTTCCAAGAACTTTATTTCTCTTCCCTCTGAGCGTGCTCTAAGGAACTTGAAAGAAGAATGTGTAAACAGAGCAATTAACCTAGATTCTTTCTGTATATGGAAGGTTTAGTTTAGTCAAGTCATTCGCAAAATAAAAAGTCCTAACGTCAAAACTTTGTAAGTAACTAACTGAAGTTATGTGTCAAAATGAAGTTTAAGAATTTTTCTTTAAGGTTTCTTTTTGAAATAAATTAATTAAAACATAGATAAAAGAAAACTTTGAACTATAACATAAATTTTGAATGTAACAAAGTAAAATCTTGTGATATGCGCAGTACATGGGTGACCATTATCACCATTCAGCTGAGAGTTTCATATAAAGCTTTATTATTTATGCTAAGATTAACGTTATATCTATATGAACTTGAAATATTCATAAGTAACTAAGTTATTTTGTGCTTCTACTGTAAACTACCTATAGATCACTTCAATGTAAGTTATTTTGTGCTTCTATTGCAAACTATCTACAGATCACTTCAATGTAAATTATTTTGTGCTTCTACTGTAAACTACCTACAGCTCACTTCAATGTAAGTTATTTTGTGCTTCTATTGCAAACTACCTACAGATCACTTCAATGCAAGTTATTTTGTGCTTCTACTGTAAACTACCTACAGATCACTTCAATGCAAGTTATTTTGTGCTTCTAATGTAAACTACCTACAGATCACTTCAATGCAAGTTATTTTGTGCTTCTACAGTAAACTACCTACAGATCACTTCATTCTAAGTTATTTTGTGCTTCTATTATGAACTACCTACAGATCACTTCATTGTAAGTTATTTTGTGCTTCTATTATGAACTACCTACAGATCACTTCAATGTAAGTTATTTTGTGTTTCTACTATAAACTACCTACAGATCACTTCAATGTAAGTTATTTTGTGCTTCTATTGCAAACTACCTACAGATCACTTCAATGTAAGTTATTTTGTGTTTCTATTACGAACTACCTACAGATCACTTCAATGTAAGTTATTTTGTGCTTCTATTATGAACTACCAACAGATCACTTCAATGCAAGTTATTTTGTGCTTCTACTGTAAACTACCTACAGATCACTTCAATGCAAGTTATTTTGTGCTTCTACTGTAAACTACCTACAGATCACTTCAATGCAAGTTATTTTGTGCTTCTATTGCGAACTATCTACAGATCACTTCAATGTAAAGTATTTTGTGCTTCTACTGTAAACTACCTACAGATCACTTCAATGTAAATTATTTTGTGCTTCTACTGTAAACTACCTACAGATCACTTCAATGTAAATTATTTTGTGCTTCTATTGCAAACTACCTACATATCACTTCAATGCAAGTTATTTTGTGCTTCTATTATGAACTACCTACAGATCACTTCATTGTAAGTTATTTTGTGCTTCTATTATGAACTACCTGCAGATCACTTCAATGTAAGTTATTTTGTGCTTCTATTATGAACTACCTACAGATCACTTCAATGTAAGTTATTTTGTGCTTCTATTACGAACTACCTACAGATCACTTCAGAGCAAGTTTTTAAAGTGTAATAAACTACTTTGATAACCAAATGTTCAACTACAGCAAAGATTTAAGTATTATGTACCTTGAATTTCTTGGTTTCCCAGCATCACAGCTGTCTTGAAGATTTGACCAATCAGAGTCTTCTTCTGGAGAGGACTTTCCTAGCTCACTGGCAAGACAAAATTCAGGTGGATTTGAATTTCCATCACCTTTGTGTGCAACATTACGTTTTAATGTGAGATTTGAAAATTCTTCATTTATCTTAGATATACCATTTGCACGGTGATTGTCTTTCTTGCTGGAAGCTTCTTTGGGAGACTGAAGTATTAAATTATCATTTGAATCACTAAAGATGTTCTGACATATAGAATAATGTGGCTGAATATTTAGAGCAGCTGAACATTTGATATCTGATGCCACAGTGCCAATAAACTGGGTACAGCTTTCCATTGGTTCTGGTTCATTCTCACAAAATCCCTCACTACTTAGGGAACTTCGGTTGCTTTCAGTGCACGTATGCACTAAAGTCTGTAAGCAATGATGACCTGGAGGAGCCAGTCTGCGGCCCTCGACACATGAACTTACGTCCACTGGGCGTCCCCTTCTGTTAACGGTATGGCATGATTCCGTTGGTTTGGTAATCATGCAAGAAACAGAGTGATCCAATGCTCGACCTTGAGTATATGGAACGTACCAACGACCAGCACCCTTTCCTGTGTACGTTACCCCTTCGATGGGATAGTCACTCCAGTCCAACAGACACGCTTCCATTGCTGGTTTAAAGCCGGGAAAGACATCAATATCAGACCGTTTGGTGCCACTTGCTCCACTTCCACTGTTGTTTCTCATCTTCCACACCCTTTCTAAAGTTTTCAAGTGCCATTCATGTAACTGAAGAGAAAGAGACAGAAAACTGTAGTGTTTCAAATTTTGTGATAAATTAAATGAACTAAAAATACACATACACTTGCTGTCAATTTTCACAATAAAATGCTCAGTCCTCACTAAGAAACTACAATTTACTCAACAAAATTTTACAAGATTAAAAAAATAATAATTAGAACTGGAAGATTTTTCAACAAAATTCCACATCAAAAAACGTTCTTAAAACTAGGAATCTTTGATTTACTCAACTGGTATTTACATGACAAAATTCTACAAGATTTAAAACAGATCTCAGAACCAGGAGACATTAATGGTTGACCCAAATAAAAGTTTTTCAACAAAATTCTACAAGATTAAAAGTTCTCAGAGTGGTTTTTTTCAGTGAAACTAATACAAAAGATTACAGAGTACTGTGACAACATGATCACTTTATCTAACCAAGTGTAAAGAAAAGTAAACAGGTACTGAACATTTCTAACAAAATGTTTATTAAAGTGTGATACAAGCATATACCTTAACAAACTCGTAATTAAAAATAAAAACTTCATTATGTTATCTACACATTTCCAAAGAAGAGAAACTTTTAAGGGTTTCCTTCACCAGGAAAACAAGTGATTTTCTAGCTGTGCATACTCTTCAAAGCACACATTAATGAGTTAAATAAAATAAAATGTTACTAAACCTTATGAAACCAGAGAGAAAAAGCTGTAACGGGTACCTGAGAAAACAAGTTCTGTCGTTCTAGGGGCGACAGTGCAGGGTTCAGACCAGTGAGTCTCCAAAGAATAACTACTTCATCACATAAGCTACTACAAGCATGTTGAGAAGCATGGGTATTACTGTTTACACTACCTCGACTTCCATATCCACTGCATCCAATGTGAAGTGAAACTTTTGTGTTGAACCACCATACAACTATCTACATTAGAAAAACTAACTTTAACAAAGTTGAAGTTTCTAAAAGCAATAGAAAAGATACTGTGATACATCATATCTATTTATATATTAGTGTTAATGATATACAAGAAATATTATTCCAAAATGTGTTTAAATAAACTGTACTACTGTATGGATCATTAGACATATAATTATTGATGTGTGTGTGTGTGTGAAGCCTGGCTTTCTGGGCAACAGTTAAGGGAATAATGCTTATTGCCACAGTATAGAGCGCTACCACTTGGTGGTTTCTGTTTCATTATAAGTTCTAAATTTACCAAAAAATATCTAAGAACTCTAATTGAGGTTGAACAACTTGAATGGCATACGTTTGAAGTGTCTTTGATTCACATATAGTTTTGTTTAGAAGTTATTAATTTTTATGAATACACATGGACTACATAGAGCCACTGAGCTAGAAAGTTAAACAGTAAATTATAATGTTTTAATGTCTGATGATAAGAAAGACAAAAATCATTTGAAAGAATAAATTTTATCCAGGAAATTCCTACTCATACAAAACAATAATACTAAAATAAAAAGTTTCATTTTGTATGTAACATCTAAAGTTTAAACTTAAAACCTACCAACTCACATACAGTAATGTTTAAAGTTTAATTAATTTTTTCCAAAGTTTCTAGAGAATAAATGTTCTTTAGTTACAACCAGAAAACACAATCCAAACTTCATATTCTTAGAGTTAATTAACTCTATTGATCAAAGCATGAATCCGCTGAGGCCCAGGCCTGTAGCAAACATTTACGAGTATTTGATATGAACCACCAATCTCTTTACTAAAAAGAACCCACAGAACTGGTTTCAAAACCAGAAGCTTACCTGGTCACATGATAACACTTCTTCAGTTAGAATCTGGAGTAAAGGGATAGCATTGCGATCACTTCGACGGAACATTTCTCGAACTATCAAAAGTAGGTTCCACATCCCTTCTGGTTCTCGACCTCGTAAAGGTCTAAGTAAACTTGACCACTCAGCTGCTGCTGGTGGAGCTGTGGATGACAAATAATTAACGTCACTGAACACCATCGGGGATGGAACACACATCTTGATAAGGATCTTCCGAATGTTCTCGTGAAGCGTACTTTCATCCAGACACCATGTGGTTTGTTCGGTTGCAGAGGCTCCTGCAGTTGGATCTGATGAAGTACAAGAAGTATCACTAAAGATCATTAACAATTAAGTTTGACTGTATATCAGTCCACTTGATAAGCTGTAGTATCATAAGATTTTGCAGAAACTTGTATAAAAACTATCCTACTATTACACTAAGTGTATAAAATTAAACTGTTTTTAATACCTTACAAAATTTAAAACTCATTATCAACTGCATTAACAATTAAACAATGAAAATAACTTATAACAAAATGTTGACAATAACATATCAAGAGATATCTGATATTAAAATAAAAACCTTCAGTATGTGTAGATTTAAAAAGACCCAGAATCTCAAACACAGTCAATTATTATCAAATTTTTTGGTGATCTTGCATGCTAATTCTTTCATCATAACCTTCAGTATGTGTAGATTTAATAAAAAACCCAGAATCTCAAACACAGTCAATTATTATCAGATTTTTTGGTGATCTTGTATGCTAATTCTTTCATCATAACCTTCAGTATGTGTAGATTTAAAAAAAAACCCAGAATCTCAAACACAGTCAATTATTATCAGATTTTTTGGTGATCTTGCATGCTAATTCTTTCATCATAACCTTCAGTATGTGTAGATTTAAAAAAAAACCCAGAATCTCAAACACAGTCAATTATTATCAGATTTTTTGGTG